GCATTACATACAAGGTCCATAGAACTGTATGATGTAGAGTGAACCCTACTATAAACCTCGGACTTCAGTGGGAATAGTGTAGGGATACTAGCTAATCATTTTAACAAACATGCACACTATGTGTGTTGGGGGAAGTACACGGAAATAGTACTTTTGTTAAAATTTTCCATAAACCTAAAATTGCTCCAAGAAATGGTCTATTAACTCAGTACAACTTTTTTTTTTTTTTAAATGACATGTACCTTGCTTTTGAAGACCAGATAAAATGTCCTCGTACAATTTGAAGAATGATTTCCTGTAGCCTTGCAGGCCCTACCTGACTCTCCGAACGATATCCTGCCCCCCCTACAGGTAACCACAACCTTGAATTTTGTATTAACAGTTGTCTTCTTTAAAAAAGAAAAAATGTTTTGCTACCTTTGTATATTTCCTTAAGTAGTATTTTGCTTAGTTTATATCGTCTTTGAACTTTGACATGTGACCAAGCACTTTGGGAATTCACCTGTGGTTTGCTCTTTGTGCTCATCATCGAGTCTCAGGCGTCACCAAGTCTCATCCAACCAGAGGGTCCAGCTGGGGATCGCTCCTTTCCACAGCTCTGGGGGTGCTCCTCTGGTTGAAAGTGCCATGGTGTAGGACACACGTCCAGTTCGGGGTTATGCTGAACAGTGCTGCTGTGAACACCCTTGGGCAGGTCCACCTGGGCACATATGTGACTTTCTCTAAGAATGTGTACCCCTGGACTTGGTGGGCTGTGGGGCGAGTGCACACCAAACTGCTTTCCCCCGAGAGGGTGCCTTCCACTGCCCATGTCCCCCTGCATCAGTGGTCACCTGCTCTCCGAGGGCAACTGCTTCTGCCCAATGCCCTTCCTGCCCTCTTCCCTTGTTCCTGCCTCCTCCTTGACCACAGGAGGCCAGGTTGGCGCCTCTCCTTAGGCTTCCTAGCACCTTGCATTACCCCAGGACATGCCTGTGTGGGTGTGAACCAACCAGACTTGTCTGTCTTCCCAGCCGTCCCAAAGGTCCCTGAAGGCAGGGCCACGTCCCATTCATTATGGCTGTCTGCTAAATTTTGTTGAATAAATGAGGGCAAAGCTGGAGTTCTCAGTCTGAGGCACATGAGGAGGCTGACAAGGGGAGTGATGAGCCACAGCTGGAGGCCTGGCAGAGGCTTAGAGGCCAGGGGCTCGGGCTCCAGGGCCATAGCTAAATGGTCAGCCTGCTCTGAGGGGTGTTGTGTGCAGATCTCTGAAAGAGGGAAGAGGTGGCAAAACCAGAACTCAAGTCTCCTCTCCCTTCTTCAGGGAGCCCCTCAGGCAGCAGAGTTAAAAGCAGAACACCTTCACTGGAATCTAAGCTACCACATACTGGCTGTGTGACTGTGAGCAAGTCACTGAACCTCTCTGTGTTCCAGTTCCCTCATCTGTAAAATGCAGAAAATAATAGCTCACCCCTTACTGTGTTGTTATAAAGCTTGGATTAAATGAGTTCATACTGTAAAGCATTCAGAACAGCTCCTGGCACATGACAAGTGCTCTATCAATATTTATTACAGAAAAATGAATGAGGACATGGAACTGGGTGGCCTTCTGTAGGACTCCAGGGGATTTTCCTTCCTGGACCCCTGCATGCACTCTCCGGGGGAGAATCTCTTCTGTGGATCTTTCCTGTTATTCTTGAGCCCTTTGTCCTGCGTATTCACCACGAGTGTGATCCACACCCTTCAGTCTGAAGTACTAGTGCTGATTTCTCCGTAGGCTGAGTTTGCTCCTCATTAGCCAGCAGGCACCAGGAGATCACGGCCACTCACCATGAGGTCAGGGCCGAGTGGCCATGATCTCCTGTGTCCCCATGGAAGATGTGGAGTGTGGGGCCTGGCTCAGAGTGGCCCGTGCTGGGGAGGCTGTGGTCCAGCAGGAGTGAGGGAAGAGCTGTGCCTAGCAGAATCCAGAGGGAGAACGTCCGGGGAGCTGGGGGGCACACAGTTCTACCAGGGCCAGTGAGCTTAGGGACACGTCTCCATAGTAGGTGGCCCTGGGACTGAAGCTCAAGGAATTTACTTGGCAGAGAAGGTTCTGGAAGCAGCAGGGCACTGACACAGAGAAGGCCTATGCCTGGAATCCTAAGGTGTTCAGAGACAGAGCAAACCAAGGCGTCTGGGAGGTAAGGGGCGGCAGCAGGCCACACAGGCCTCTGATGACCTCTCCCTGAAGCCTAGACTTTGTCTCTGGCTGAGGGTCCTGGAAAAGATGTCCCCTGAGGGAGACCATGGGACGCCTCGTCCCCTGAGCACTGTTCACCCAGCACACTGTGCCCGACAGGAGGGGCTGAGGGAAACCCACAGACAGCTTGGCCTTGTTTGGTGGACCGGCAGGGCTGCAGGTGGACAAATCACAGGCTTCTGCTGCCATGGCAACGGAGCAACAGGGCAACCCGAAAAGAGGAGTAAGTAGCACAAGAGGAAGGGCCAGGAAAGACCCAGAAAGAAACCTCGGTAGATCCTGGAGGGACACTTGAAGGGCATATCTGGCCCTTGCCCTGGGCCCTGTGGGTGGCCCCTCGGTTTCCTCGTCTGTGCAGAAAGGCTCTTTTATGGTCATCAGGGGCTCTGCAGTTGGAGAACCTTAACCTTGAGAGATTTGGGGTGTTCTAGGGTTCTGTGCACAGAGTCATCGAGGGGAAGAAAGGTATCATCCGTGATGGCAGCACCGGTTTACCCTGCTTGAATGGCTGGGCGGCGGGGCTCCCCATTTCCAGTCTGCCCCAAGCCCTGCAGCCTTCTCCTGCTGCGGCCAGAGCCCCACTGACCCCTGCAGACTTAGAGTGCAGGTGGCAGCCTTGCAGGCCCCAGGGTACCCTTGATCTGGTCTCCAGCTGCCCCAGCTCCAGACTCCCCATAAGCTCTGCCTCATTCCCTTGGCTCCCCTTCCCTGGCATCCTGGCCCCTCAGTCCCTTTTCTCTAATTCGCGTCCTTATCTGTAGGGTGTGCAGGCATGCCTTTGTTCTACCTACTTCCCTGATCTGCACCAATGAACAAAGGCCTAGGAAAGTCCAAGAAAGTGCAAAAAGAGCTGTCTTGGTGTTGAAGGGAGGGTAGGGCACCACTAAACTGCTGGGCGACCTTGGGTAAGTTACACAACCTCTCTGGGTTTCCATTTCCTCATTACTAAGATGGGCTTACTTGTAACACTTCACAGAACTGTTGTGATATTAAATCACATATAACACTGGCTGTCATCACTGTCGTCATTGTCATTATCATCATCATCACTATCATCATTATGGCTGTAATTGTCACCACCACAGGCTCTCCCTAGCTCAGGGGCCCACTTAGCCAGTGACAGCTCTTCCCAGTATTGAATCTGTCTGGATCACTAAATCTTGGTGGTGGGCAGGGAATTCCCCTGGGACTGAGTGGGCAAGGAGGTGCTCATTTGGCCACTGTGCATGATGAATGGTGACCAGTTGTCACCTCCCCTCTGGAAAAAGCCTGTCTGTGTGAATGAACTCAGTTCCTGTCCCCTTGGCCCACAGGCACAGCCGGTGTCGTGTCTGTCTGTGCCTGTCTGGAGCCCTGCTTCCTCCCAGGGTATACGTGAAAGGTGGAGAGATGGAGGGGCGCTGTCCAAAATCTTCTCCCTAAAAGATGTTCACCGACTGCATAACTTCTTACTGAGCTGAGTAAACTCTCTGTATCAACATAAATGTGGCTGTGCATTTTATTTTCATGAACCTCCACTCTTTTATTTATTTTTTAGTCCTGGGGATTGAACTCAGGGTGCTGAGCCACATCCCCAGCCCCTTTTGAAATATTTTGTTTAGAGACAGGATCTCTCTGAGTTGCTTAGGGCTTCACTAAGTTGCTGAGGCTGGCTTTGAACTCAGGATCCTCCTGCCTCAGTCTCCTGGAAAACCTTCTTGTCTAGAAGGATAATACCTCTGTCCCCAACTTCCACACTAAATTCCACAAAAGATTTCCCTAATAACATGGTGTGAGAAACAGAGGTCCTCATTGTCTCCATTGAATTCACCACAACATACGGAAAACATAAGCAAACGGCCCACCCAGTACAGCCAGCTCCATCCCACAAAAGTATGTTCAACTAAAGTACAAAGTGGACAAAGAGACAACTTTCAGGGACTCGGACTTCCCTACCCCAGAGCATCACGGAAAGACCAGCAGGAGTCCAGGGCAAGGCTGAATGCAGGATAATTAAAATGTATACTTAAAGTACTTTTATATAAGCTTCCTTATTTTTATTTTTTGGTGTCCAAGATTGAACCCAGGATGCTCAACCACTGAGCCCCAGCCTTTTTTGTATTTTATTTAGAGGCAGGGTCTCACTCAGTGGCTCAGGGCCTCTGTAAATTGCTGAGACTGGCTTTGAACTTGGGATCCTCCCACCTCAGCCTCCCGAGCTGCTGGGATTACAGGCTGCATGCGCTGTCATGCCCGGCTAAGCTTCCTTATGTTAACAATAAATGTCTCATATCAAATGTATGAGAGGAAATACACTGCTCGCCACCCTGAACATCATACAGTAACTAGGAGGAGCTATTGGAACATGGATTTCCTAGAAGCACTGCTTATGGGACTTTCTTTAAAGAAGGGACAATGGTGCAATGTAATTTCTCCAATGAAAGATCACGTAGATGGGGGCTTCTACAATGTATTTTTCTTTGCAGGCTGGGATGGGAGCCCAGGGTCTTGAGCACACAAGGCAAGTGCTCTATCACCGAGCTACACCCCTAGCCCAGTATTTTTGGCAGCCCAACATTTCCCCTTAATTCTGCATATATTAAGATTGACATTAAATTATTTCACCATACCTTATATCCAGTGCTCCTGAAATTAACAAACATCTCAAATGGAAGGAAGTGGGATCAGGTGTTCCCAAGAGCAACTGTGCAGCCGAGGAGATGCACTAGCTGCCTTGCCATCTCGTGCCTGGGAGCTGCGCCCGAGGGTCTCCCTCCTGCTGGCACCGGCTGCTTACCTCCATGCTGTACCTCTCCACTGTCCTCCGCAGGGGATCCACGGCCTGCCAGCAGATCAGGATGCACAGATCGATGAGCAGCATGCCCCCGACGATCACGAGCAGTTTCTGGTCTTTGATAATCTGCAGTGGAGAGGAGAAGAGGGAGGCAGAGGTGAAAAGAAGCTTCCTGGACAATGGCTGAGGACCCGGGATGAGGAGTGACTGTGTCCTGGATGCTCAGCTGGACAGTGTCCTGAAATGCCCCATCACCCACAGAATAATGTAGCCAGGTTCCTTTGCCTTCCTGGTCCAGCCCCTCTCCAAACCCACATGTGCATTTTGTTGAAATCTGGCCACTCCTAGTCTCCTCTGAGCTGTGATTTTCACTCTCTGGGACTTTGTAGGTGCTGTTCCTTTAGTCTGGAACACCCTATTCTTTCCACAATCTTTAAAGACCCAGGTCAGTTGTAGCTTCCTCCACGAAGCCCTCTCTGACTCCCCTAGAATAACTCATCACTCCCAGAGCATTGTGTCCACATGATCCGCGGAGTAATAACAGCAGCAGAGACAACAAGCAATGTAGCTAACCTTTAATGATCCATTATTCCAGGCTGATGGTTCACATGCATGGTCTCATTTAAAAACAGATTCTATCATTATTCCCATTTTACAGATGAAGAAACAGGCCTCTGGGGGGCTCAACAGATATGTCAAAGGGAGTGAAGCTCAGATTTGAACCAAGCACCTCCTTTCTCCAGAGTTACATCCTCAAACAATCACAGCACTGTCCAGACACTACGTCAAATAATTGTTACAGCTCCCTCCTCACTGGCCTGGGAAGCCCAGACAGGAGGGAAACCCATGTTATTTATTTGTGTACTCTCGTACCTAACAGGGCTTGGCATTCAGTAGGCACTTAAAAGTTTGATGGATAGAGCTGAGATGAAGGAAAATAAAAAGAAGAAATATAACTCACTCCCATTCCGCTCTGCAGGCAGGGGTGTTTCTTCACTGCTGTGAGTCCCACCCCACTTTACATCACTGATATGCAGGGGCCTGGGGACAAACACTAGAGCACCAGTGCTCACCTGTATTTCATTCATTGCAGGTTTATGTCCCCCCTACCCCCAAAACACACAAATAAAAGCCAATGTGATGAAGTAGTTCTGGAAAAGAATCATGGAAAAATAAACAAAACTGATACAGAAGCTTAAGAAATATCACCAGGTCTGGTTTTTAACGATTAAAGCCATTTCAAAAGGAGAAACAGAAACTCAAGAGGTCTCTCTGTGGATGAATGTAGAAGGAACAAGAAAGTGTTGCTGATCAAATCCACCCAGACTGCTTTACTTGGGGGTAGAGCACTGGAGAAACCACCTCTTTGAATTTTCAAGGAGGATCCAGTGAACCTCTGAGGTTTTGCAGAAACCTGGCTTAACCCTTGCCCCCAGGAACTAGGCAACTCTTTGTAGAGCTTGAGAAAACAGGGTGGACCTAGGATGGGCTGGAAGAAGACTCTGCCTAATGCGCTGCCTGAGTCTCCAGGCAATTTTCCCACTTAGGCTTGACTCCTGGAGGTCCTCCCCGCACCTTTCTGCTGGTGGATTCCTACCCCAGCTTCAAGACTCAGCCCAAGCAGCTCCTCATCCGTGAAACTGGGCATGTCCAGCACAGGGCACAGCCAACCTTAGAAGACACACACCAGGATTTCCCTCTTGTAAATGTGACACAGTAAGGTCCTTCACTCATAAGGCTCAAGAATGGGGTAGAAAGGGGCACTGGAATTCTGAAGGATTTGGAATTATTATGTGAACTTGGGTTGGGATCCTGGCTCCATTTCTTGTTACTTGTATGGTCATAAGCAAATCACTTCCTCTTTCCTATTCTGCATTTTTAATTTATGTCATGGCCAGGAGGAAGGGAAGAGAGGGAGATTCATGTATTATTCTCTAAGTATGGTATAAAGGAAAGAGCATAGATTTAGGAATTAAAAGGCCTCTTTCTAATCCCAGTTCTTACCAAATGTGATCTTGATCTTGAGCAGGTTGCTTAACTTTTTTAGGTCTCAGTTTCCTCCTTGATAAACTGGAGCCACTCATGCCCAAGTTACACAGGTGGTCTTAGAATAAAATGAGACGGTGTATGAAAACACCTAGTACAGGGAAGATGCTCAAGGAATGGTGGCTATTTCACTACCACTACTTGGGATTTGTCCATTAGTGATTATGTGTTTTTGTGTAGGACAGCATCTAGGGGTGAAACATGATATTGCACCTCAGCTCTAGTAGACAGAACTCAATGGATGAATCTGTGGTGGAAGGTTGTAATGAGAGGCTGTATCTAATTTCCTTTTAGCACCATTCCCAAAGCCTGGCACATGGCCAGTGTTGGTAGCTAGATGGATTTATACTAAGAAGTTATGAAATTAATTTCATTTATTAACTGTGGAACTGTTTATTGAGTGTCTACATTGTGTCAGGTTCTGTTTTAGACAGCCATGAAAAAAAAAATCCTACCTTCATGGAGCATGCGTTTTAGTGGGGAAAGACTAACAATGGATAATTAAACAAATTCACCCATGCATATACAAAATACACTACCAAGGACAGGTGATTTAAAATAATCTTCAGTAATGAAAATTGAGGGAAGGAAAACAAAAATAGTACTGACCTGACCATTCCAATTTGAGGACCAGAGAACCTTTCCAATGGGCAAGGTCACCTCTCAATTCTCACTTCACCTTCTCTCTTTCATTCCCTCTTTTTCAGGTTTCTCCTCAAAGTCTGCCCACTGCCTCTCTGGGGTATGTCAGTAGTCACTGACATCAGAACATGCCATCCTGTCTCTGAACCTGGGACAATCTTGCCGAGTGAGAGATGGAATGGTACCAGCAATGATAAGACAACGGGCTCTAAGCTGCCATGAACTAACTAGTTGTATGATTTTGGTTAAGTCCTGTGACTCCTCTGAGCTGTTTCCTCATGTACAAAATTGGGAAATAACCACACAAGCCATATTAGATTCCCAGAGCCTGGCTGACAATAACTTCAACGGAAGCCAGTGATCATGCCAATGTCAGTTCCCCTTGTTGTATGGAGCAGGGATTAGCAAACATCAAACTATAGATTTTTCTCACCACTTATTTTTTAATAATATTTTTTTTAGTCGTTGATGGACACAATACCTTTATTTTATTTAATTATTTTTTTATGTGGTGCCAGGGATTGAACCCAGTGCCTCACGCATACCAGACAAGCGCTCCACCACTGAGCCACAACTCCAGACCTCACAGTCTATTTTTATAAATAAAATTTTATAAAAGCATAGCCATATCCATTCTTTAAATATTTGTCCATGGCTTATTTTCCATAAATCAGCAGCATAGACTAGCTGAAAAAAAGACAGTATAGGGCTGGGAATGTGGCTCAAGTGGTTGCGTGCTCGCCTGGCATGCGTGGGGCACTGGGTTTGATCCTCAGCACCATATAAAATAAAAATAAAGATGTTGTGTCCACCAAAAACTAAAAAAAAAAAAATACTAAAAAACTCTCTCTCTCTCCCTCTCGTTAAAAAAAAAAAAGACAGTATAACTTGCAAAATCTCATGCAAAGTTTTGTTCTTTACAGAAAATACTTGCCTGACCCCTGCTGTCATTTAGCTGATGCCTGGGGTGGCTGTTACAAACCCTCCCCACCAAATTTCCATTGAGCCTGGATGAAGGTCTGAGCAGGTGTCCTTAGATGGTTTTATTACTTGTGTTGTTGTCTACAACAGTACCAAGTCATTTTTGTCCTCAAAAAACATCTGCCCCAAGAACAGAAGGTCTCATCTTTGAGTTACTGCTTCATCTCAACACTTCAATTTGGTCCTAGTGAGAAGCAGAATAAAGACTGCAATAAGCTCCTCATTTAAGATTTTACGACTGGTCTTTAGGAAAAAAATGGTAGCATGCTATAAAAAAGCTGAATTTGGGAGTGTGAAGCCACCATGTGTCAATACTTTCTTCAGTAGACTTCTTTTCCTTTAATGTCTTTAAAAAAACATGGCCATATGGGGTGAAGCTTGTGTGTGTGCATTTGGGGAAGGCCTGCCATTGTGGGTGGAGGGAGGAAGAAGTGGGAGCTATGGAAAAAAGGAAAGGATAAAAAGACTCTAATAAAAAAGGCATGTGATTGCAATTATAAGTTTATGTAGATCTAGTATATGTATCAGTGAAAAAAAAAAGGGGGATCCACTAAAAAAAAATCAAAGTCCAAAGTTCTTTAAAAGGAAACCAAATCACACAAGGAGAAATACTGTATGACAATTTATGTGAGGTTCCCAGAGGAGTTGTCCCTAAGAGCCAGAAAACAGAGTGTGGTGGACAATGGAGTTGGTATTTTATGGGGCTTTAGTTTGGGAAGGTGAAAAAGTTTTGGAGATGGACAGTGATGATGGCCACACAATATGAAGGCATGATCTGAACTGCCAAACTTTTGAGGATAAGATGTGGTCCCTGATTTTGTTGTAAAAACAGTGAAGGCCAATTAATACGCTGCAGCGTGGGAAACTCCTGGGGTTGCTCTAGTCCTTCTTGTAACTCAGGAGAAGGTTAGAGGAGGGAATGRTGGAGGAGAGAAAGGTATATATGACTTGGGTGGATCAAACATCACGTGGGGAACCAGATGATTTTGAAGGGGGAAAGGCAGTCACAGTCCAAAACGGCTCTTTTCCACAATTCTGGTTTTTTTTTGTGTGTGTCAGGTTTTGTTGTTTTGTTTAATTRGTTTTTCTTTTTCTTTCAAAACATTTTTTTTTTTGTACTGGGATTGAACCCAGGATCACTTTACCACTGAGCTACATCCCCAGCCCTTTTTAATTGTTTTGTTTTGAGACAGGGTCTCGCTGCTATGTTGCTGAGGCTGGCCTCAAACTTGCAATTGTCCTGCCTCAGCCTCCCAAGTCATTGGTATTACAGGTGTGTATCACCATACCTGACAGTTTTATTGGTTTTTCAAATTGTGGTAAAATACATATAACATACAATTTACCATTTTAAATATTTTTAAGTGGCTAGCTCAGTGGCTTTAACTGAATGGAGGTGATCTTGTGCTACTGCAGTGTCCTGATGTCAGCATCCCCCACTGGCCAAAACGCCTCTCCCCTTCCTGTGCAGGCAACTCACCCTGTCATACCCTCTGTCCCTGCTGTCACCCTCACCATCCTATATCGATGCCCCTGCTGATTCAGACACCCTCCTCTCTAGTGCAGTCGCCCCCTGGGTCTTGACCACAGAATTACTGTCCTCTGACATCCACCTCCTTGAGGGCTCTATGTGTTATCCCCTGCTGTACCTGACATCATYATCCTTTAAAAAAAAATTTAGGATCTTTTTCCCCTAAAAACTAGAAAAGGAAAACAACAACAAAAAAACAGTAAAAAACATAGTTCAAAAAGTTTTTTAAAGTTAAAAAATAGTAAATAATAAAGGTGGGGCGGGTGCTTGCCTGTGGGACAAGTGCCTTCCCAAGGTGCCAGGATCCCCCACAGCACAACCCTCAGCTGTACAGCATCTCCAGAGGGCACGGGTCCCCTCCCACCCAGCTCAGCGCTCTGCGCTATGGCAGGAAGGACACTAAGCCTGGTCTCTGGAGACAGTGTCACATCCCTGTCCACAAGGAGCTTGCAGACAACCAAACTCCTGAAGTTTCCCTTGACACGTTTTGTTGATTGTGCCAGACAGTCGGGGTGTTCTTGCTCAGCGCTCACACGAGGATGGAACAGAAAGGCCAGTTCTTGATTACAGATGACAACATGGATGAGTCACATATTAACACAAAGGAATTGACACCGATTCTCGAAAAACAGGATGAGTTGTCATAAACGGCAGAGCAGCTCTCTAAGCAGAGCTTCTGGATGGGAGGGACCCCAAAACCACCTAGACCAGTGCTTCTCAAACTGGCTGGCTTCAGCCTCACCCAGGGGACGGTGAAATAGCAGGCTGCTGGCCCGGCCCCAGAATCTTGGTTCCTTAGGACTGGGCTAGGGCCAAGCATGGCATTTCTAAGAAGCTCCCAGGTGTGGACAGCCCACACTGAATAGCCCTGGTCCCGGCTTGAAGGCTTCCATGCTGGCTGTGAGCGGGCACAGGGTGCTCTCAGTTTCCAGGGTGTTACCTTTGCAGATTCAACCACCCGTAGGTGGTTTACCACGTGGTTAGGCCAACAATGGTTGTATTTATACCAAACATACAAAGAATGCTTTTTCTTGTAATTATTCCCCAAACAATACAGCGTAACCATTATCTACACGGCATTTACGCTGAACTAGGTACTGTAAGTAATCAAGAGAAGACCCAGAATATACCGGAGGATGTATGTAGGCTATATACAAAGACTATGCCATTTAATATCAAGTACTTGAGCATCCACAGATTTTGGGATCCTTGGAAGGGGGACAGTTCTGAAACCAGTCCCCAGAGGACACCGAGGGACAACTACAACTCCTGGGAAAGTCTAAAACCCACTGATGCTTAGCTACAGCCCCTAGAGATTTGGGTTCAACTGGCCCCAGGTTGGGTGATTTCTTGTAATTTTCAAATGTCCCCATTGCTCTGTAGTGTCCAGTGGGGACTAGGAGCAACCAGTGGCTGGACTTCTCTCACTTACACAGGGGAGTTGTCATAGTGCTGCTGGGCCTGGAGAGCAGCAGAAAGCACAGGGATCTGGTGTCAGGTCTGGAATCTTTGTCCCTTGAATGTAGCCTAAGGTTTTCCTGTGGTGGCCTGGCTGTGTGGCAGGGGCCAGAGGGGCAGGATCCACCCACCTCACTGGAGTGGGCAGGGGCTGCAGCACTTGAAGCACTGTTTCACTTCCCCTCTTTTAGGGGCTCCCCATTGCCCATAAGTTCAAGTTCAGATTCATCTATGTGGTTCCTACCTTTCCTTCCAGCCTCTTCTTGCACCCTGCCCCTGTGACCCCCCACGCCTCTCCCTACTGTGCCCCTCTGGGCCCTCTGACCAGGCCACTCCTATTCTCAGGCCTTTGCATGCACTGTTCCCCCTATGACATGTGCAGAATCCCCACCCTCTCTAGTTGACCAACTCCCCAACACCCTCCAGGACCTGGCGGAGGTGAACGTGATGCCTCCCGGAGTGTCTTGTGCTCTAGAAGTCCCCATGTGTCCCCAACCAGCACCCCTCACTCTGTGCTGTAAAGACTTTGTTAGCTGTATGATGTCCCTGGGAGCCAAGAGATAAGGACTGTGTTTCTTTAAATCCCCAGCAAGTAGCTTAGAGGCCACACACAGTCAGCACCTAATTCATGTCTGTTTGCTAAGTGACACTTAGCAAACTAAGAGAACCCCTGAAGCTGTAGGAGGGTGATTACCTTCTTCTTCATTTTCACATTTTTGAAGATGGCATGGACCCTCCATGTCTTTGCAAACATCGCTCCAAAGGCAGTTGTGTAACCCACGGTGAGGATCCAGGTCCTGACCTAGAGCCCATGAGAAAACGGAGACATTAGCATCCTTCAGGTGAATGGATCTTCTGTCAGATGTGTCACCACCCCAGAAGAGGTCCTCTAGAGGATGGGGACAAATGTTTTCCTTTGCATGTTGAATTTTGCTGGCATCCTTCAATCAAATTTCAAGGTGATGGACTTTAAGTTCTATCAGCCATTTGTCAGGCCCAGGGTACTTGGCATGTACGTGAGATTTAAATCCTGCCTCCAATAGGCCTGTAGTGAGCACCTCATAGAGAGAGGCACAGAAGGTCCCAGCACTGCTGAGGGGTCACTCTGTCTTTCTGTCCTCCCTTTCCTCTCCCTCACCATGGCCAGGCTGCTACTGCCCAGGGTGACCTCAGGAGTCCAGTTACTTAGCAGCAGGCCAGGCTAGATGCTGAGCCCACAATCAGACCTTGGATCCCTTTAGAACTAAGGCCCTGTCTGGCTTTCAGCTGATCCCCAGGACTAAAGTGTGCCCAGGCTGATGACTGTTGGGAAGAGCCATACCTGCAGGCTGGCACAAGATGGCCACCATCTGTTAGCTACTGAGGGCTTGCAGGGTGCCCACTCCCYACCTCCACTGTCATTACTCCCAGACTCCCCCCTCAATGGCTGGACCAGACACCCTCCATCACCCAAGGGGTGTGCAGATCCCTGGAAATGCTCCAGCCCAGGTTCATTCTGCTCTTGCCTTCGAGGCAACGTGGCTATCCAACTTTTCAGAGACAGCACATTTTCCCTCTCTGTTCTCTTTGTGAAAATAGGAACTGGCAGGGTAAAAGGCAAGACTGATCTCCTAAGTCAAGGGAAAGACAATAGCATCCCCAAAATCACTGGGAAATGTGTGTGAAGTGTGACTGCAGACTGGGTACAGGGGGGACTCAGTCTTCTGTCTTCTTTCATTTCAAAAATGAGGGGGGAATCCAAGCCAGGATGAACCTCAGTGCCTCAGGGGCATAGGATGTCTATCTTATTACCCCGATTAGACTCCAAGGGCCCAAGAGAAGTAACAGACCAAGAAGGAGGAGCTTATCCAATGGCCAGGTCACGAATTCCTTCCATTGGCACTGAGGGGCCCTGTAGACCATCCCACTCAGTAATCCATTTGGTGGCTTATCTGATCCCTCAACTAGTGCCATCAGGCCAGAGGTAAAATATAGAGAAATGAAAACAGACAATAACAACCGTCAGGGTGATTATTTAGGAGATGTCAGTTGATGAGGAAACCACTTTACAAATGAAGAAACTGAGGCCCAGTGCATTGGACAGTTTCCCTCCACTGCCCACGTGGCCCCAGAGTGAAGCCTAGAACTCCTCCCCTTGATCAGGAGCASCCCACTGTCCTGCATCCTCCCAGGTCCAGTCTGCTTAACCCACGTCAGGCTCATCTACACCCTGATCCTGCTGCCCAAGGGCAAGGGCACATGAGGTGGGGCAGCTGAACAGCCACAAGGTACTCTCCTGAGGACCGCGACACATTTTCAAAGCTAATACGCAGACACAACTTAAGACCACTGGTCCACAAGTGTTTTTGGTCATGTCCTCGTATTAGAAAGTCCATCTGAAACACCAACACAGGCAGAGCATGGACATTTCATAAAGGATGGAAAAAGGAAATAATGCCATTAGTTTACATCATAGTGGGGCTGACACAGGTCTCTTCTTTCAAGGCCATGTGTCACACAAATGTGCTGAGTGTTATTAATATCTCCCTTGACCAAGGTTTTCCTTAAAGCAATTATTTTCAGGCCACTTGCCTATTTTGTGAGGGTTAACTTCATTAAGATTCAATGAGATAAATTAAGTGAGTTAAAAGTCGATAATATAAACTTAATCTGGCATCTGGAAATGGCAGTATGGTGCCAGGAAGGGAAAGACAGGATTGCCTGAAGCTGCCTGGCCAGAAGAGCTCACAGCCCCCGCCTGACCATGAGGCGAGCTATTGACTGGTGTCTGAGAATTTGGATTTGGGGTGGGTTCCCACCATCCCCTCAATGACAAACATGGTTTACTGTGCCAAAATTCTTTGTGCACAGAATATAGTTTATGTTGAACACCTGCATTCCTTCGGGGAGTCTGGAATTTGGGGCATAGTAGGCAGGCAGGTACATGGTCCCCTAATAAAACTCCCAGACACGGCTCTGATGAGCTTCCCTGGGAGACAGCATTTCCTGYGCGTTGTCTCTATTCATTCCTGGAGCAAATCCGTGTGTCCCGTGTGACTTCCTCTTGCAAGCTAGCACCTGGTCCTCCCTAGTATTTGCTCGATGCCTTTTTCCCCCCTCTCTGATTTTGCTTGTGTCATCGATCATAGCTGTGAGCGCAGGTGGATGCTGAGTCCTGGGAGCACCAGGAATCCCTGAACCTGGGTGTCCCCCACCCACACTCTCTCTGTATGGAAAAATGTAGTGACTAACCACRATGTCCTTTGGTTGTGGAGGTTCCTGGATGTGACCACCAGAAGCACATGCTAAGCCAGGGTCCACGTCAGCCCTGGCCTCACCTCACACCTGGAGGCAACTTTTAAGAAATCGATGAACTAACAGTAGAGGAAAGCGGGGTGGGAGCAGGACAGTGGGACCCACCAGCAGGGCTGCCTACCCCGCTGGCTCTCTGGGCTACCCTCTGCTGAAGGGAGGTGTTATTTCTCTTCTCTGCTCCTCCCATGTCTGTGAGATGGAGAGGGTGCCAGGACTGGCTCCTCTTGGCCCATTTAAGTGCTCCTCTAGGTTATCATCCCCACTCTGAGCTCCAACCCTGCACATATTCTTGTCACTGGAGGCCCAGGTGACACTTAGGTGACCCCATAAAACCTTCACACTCCGCAGCCAAAGCTCAGCTCATCAGTCTCCCCCTGAGATTCTGTTTCTCCCTGACTTGGGGAATTGTGTCACCATCTGCYTGTCCCCCAAGTTAGGGACCTGGGAGTCACCCATCTTGTCCCTACCTCCCCTGACTCTCCTAGTCCATCTGCAAGCCATCTCCTCTGCCTGCCCTCCCATGTCTCTCCCTTCCCCTTGATCTCTGACAGGTGGGTCCTGGTGCTGCCCGTGGGGCTTTGGTAGGGTTTGGAAGGATGGTCAGGAGGCTGGGGGTGCCAGGAGGCTGTGTTTCCCCCACCATTTGTCTCTGTGCTGTGTCTCTGGAAGTAGCTGGGTCTTTTCACCTAGCACTGGCTCTTTCTGGGCCAGGAAGACTCTCATCATTCTTACAGGGGACTAGGGAGGGCATTTCCTGGGGAGGGCTGYCGGGTGGTGAGGGCTGCCTCTGGGTACCTCAGTATCCCCAGGTTGCTCCTTTAACCCCACCTGTACATCTCTAGTTTTTCCCATCATGGGAGTCTCTCCCAGTGACAAGGGGTTCTGTCTTGTGCCAGGGCCATGCCCGACACTCCATCTCACATTGTGTCCTGGGTCAATGTAGCCCTCCCTTCTATCCCCTGCTGCATCCTGTGTCTTCTCAGGCTGCCAGTCCTGGCAGAAGCTATTTCCTCTGTCCCTGGTACTATTCTTCCTGCATTCTATTTCACATATTCTTTATTTGTCCTCTGAAATCCAAATTCATAGGCCACTGCCTCTGAGAAGCCCTCTCAGACCTCACAGGGAGGTCATGGCTGCCCATTCCCCACAATGTCCACCTTTATGCACATTTCTGCTGTGACATCTGTCTACCACCTGCCTGCCTCTCCCATAAGATGGAGCCACTAAGAAGCAGGGCTTGAGCAAGCCCATGAAAGGACAACCACAGAAAGACTGGCACTGATAGCAAAAGAGGCTGAGTATGTGGCCTCAGTGGCCCCTTCCACTGAAATTTGATATGTGATCTTGTAGATAGTGAGCTAAGCTTGGAGGACACTCTGTCAGGATGCTGTAGGGGCATTTCCTGCAGTGAGGGAGGTTTATTTGATGATGTTCCAGGTATACCTTCTTTCTCTATAATCACGTGATGTTAAATGAACTAGAAAGTTCTGAGGGGCTATAATGATTCTGATTTCCAATTGTTCCCCTCCAGAACAAATCTCTACTGAGTCATCACCACCAGATGAATAGTGACTTCACTGTCTCTACAAAGTCTTGAGCACATTCACTCTTGAGAGTTAATGTCTTTCTCTTCCTTTGGCCACAGAGCACTCAGAACCCTGTCAATTGCCTTAGACATACACATTMATGGGGGAAAAGGAAATTCAGGCAGGCAATGTCCATCCATCTCAGCTATGAAAAAGAAAAAAGAAATGAGAGMAAATCTCCAAAGGAAAAGAAAAATCTATGCCTGGAACAGTTTTGTTCAGCTACCGCTCAATTGATGCCATGAAGGCAGAGTGAAAGGTCTTCACTGCTCTTTGGGGGATCAGCAGGGAAATGGACACACAGCCTGTGCTCTCAGGCCTTCTGACAGATGATGGGGGTTGTGGGACACTGAGCCTCCACGTCACCATAGATGCACTTGGCCTTGGGCTGGAAGTCAGATAGAGGAGGCTGTTTGGACACTTAGGACAAGCTGCTTTTCCACTGTTCACAAGGATTCTAGGATAATTTTATTGCCTTCTGAGCCTCACTCCAGGCAGGCAACAGCGAGAGGCAGGGAAAAGAAGCCCCCGACTATCCAGAAGCAACCCAGACCCCTGGCAGATCCTGGTGGGAGAGCCAGTGCTGAGGGTCAGGTCTCCAGGGCCTGCCTCGTCTCCCTGGGGCTGGTGGCAGTGAGATGCAAGGTGAGAGGTCTTTGAAGAAGGCCCCCCAGAAGCACGCCAGAAGACCCCACCTTTCAGGGCTCTTTTGGTAAAATCTGCGTGGAAAATCTCCTCTAGAGTTTAGAGTACAGCACACCTTTTTCAGGGGGCTGCAAGAGACTCCAGGCACAAGCAGGAACACATTGGGACTCAAGCCAGGACGAGCAGGGCACCTTAGGAACCTTGGGGCAAATCAGAGGACGAGTGCCTCATCTGGTAGGAGGGATTTCTGAGACGCACACTCTGGTCCTTTTGAAAG